AAATCAAAGAGAAGGTAGTATTGAATCGTACTGGTAGAAAATTGATACCTGAAGCCTCGGAAAAAGTTAAGACGGATGGCCTTGAAGAAAGGAAATGAAAGGAAAACGCATCAGCTACTAGCACAGTTGAACTAAGAACCTAATGGGTTTAACATCAGAAACTCATTTTAAGCACTCATTACAGATTAATCAATTTAAACAAACTCCTTTTTAACTATCAGAGAGGGAACAGATTGATGTATTCTAATCTAGTCTTCGATGTGCCTCTTACAAACAAGCGACATTGATTTTATATAGATCGAGATGCAATTAGTAGAAATGCTAAGTTGAGTCACAGAGACTAACCAGTGAAAAATAAAGGAAAAGGGCAATGAAGTAAGATATCCGTGATCCATAATCAAAAGACCCTCGAATCTTCGCCCATGCCATTGAAGCAACACTAGGTGCAGCAACAAAAAGAAAGAATACCGGGTGGAGTTCCTTAGGTAGTGTCTCATTTGTTGGAAGCCTTTGATAGAGAGTTACAAATAAGACAGTGTAATGAGCCAATCCAATGGCAAAGAAAAACATAGGCCCTTCTTTCAGCCCCATGGATGCACCAAGCAAAGCCCCAACAAAATTCCCAACAACTGAGAGATGATTCGAGGGGTTGGCCACCCGAGAAAGCCTTCGTTGTCCTCCCGACATCCACTGTCCATAGATCTTAATTTCGAGGCAAACGAGTGGAGTCATAAGAATATACCATAGAGATTTGTGAAGATTTTGAGAAATTGATGGTGGAATTCCAAGAGCCAGGAACAGAAGGGCAATCCATGGAGCAAAAAAGAAGTTAATGCGTATTGGGTGGTAGTATTCACGATGAACAGCTTCAAAGTAGAAAATCACTTTCAGACTGTAAATGAAAAAGACAACTGCTACAAGAGCAACAGATGTGCACCAAAGCACCAGATTTATGTCTGGGCTTACGTGGAAGAATGTCGTTGAAGTAGAAGTGGCTAAGGTTTTCCACATAATGGCTTGGCTGCTAATACCAAGACAGATACCGAAAGAAGATATTGGATAACGTAGAAGGAATGGCCATTTTTTGTCTTCTGGAAGAAGTACTTCTTCAGAAGCCTGTTAACGAGAAGAATCAATTTTAGGCTTAAACGAACAGCAACAATCTCTTGGAAACATCCATATACTTTTGATAGAAGAATAAAAGTACACCATATGGGATGTTCGTATAGGGTGTTGGACAATAATTCAGAAGACAAATAAGTTAAAATCTTGTCTATTGTAATATCGAATTTTACAAAGTACAGTATTACAAAACATGCACTAGAAGTCTTTGTTTTAGACATAAAAATAAAGATTTTCTCTGAAGGCATTGATAATGCCCAAAATGTATTATTTGATGCACTTAGTACATAACATATACTATTACACTGTAAAAGATCCGGATATTTTTTTCTGTATCACTAAATACCACTGCCAAATTACAAATTCAGATAATAATTGAACTTCTGAAGCATATTATAAGAAAGTCAAAGGTGTTGAACATCATTTACAGCGTGTATTTTATTATGCCTTTCAGGAAGAAATGCTGTGAGGGATTTTCATTATGTTCAATATTCAATGCGGCAATATCGTATGCAACAGCTGCATAAAAATATTTAAAAACAGAAATGTCTTTAAAGAAATTTCTATGCACCAAGACAGAAGTTTTCTTCCAGATAATAAGTACTTAAGCTTTGCAAGTATGTTTATTCCACTGTTAACAAAATTATATGCATTAAACCAAAACTTTAGCAGTAGAAAATACGTACTCGCAGAGTATCCAATTCCGGTCCTTCCAAGGCATCAAAGTATCGATCTACAGATAAAGCTTCAACTTCTGCAGGCTGCTGAGAATCGATCCCTAGCACAGTTTCCCGATGCTTTCCATTTTCGGACCATGTTCTAAATGAGTTAAATGGACTATTTTTTGGCTTGTCGATAGTCGGATTTCTTAGCTTGAGATTGAAAGGTTTAGGAATTGTTCCATTTGAAATAGTCTCATTAAAAACAGAACCTTTTGGGACTGAACGAGAATAAAATTTTGAAGGAATATTACCGTTTTTGGATAGAGCAGCTGAATTCAGAATATAATTGCTTGAATTTGCTTCGGAAACTTCTTTTGTGTTCTCTAAATGATCTCCCATAGGATATGCTGGCATGCTAATAGAAACAGAATGCGCTGCCTGTAATTTAGAAAGACTATTTTGTCCTACTACAGCAGCTTCTTCAGTTCCCTGAGATGTTTAATTGACAAAAACCAGTCAGGTATCGCATGAGAAATATCAGTATCAAAGGGATAATGGAGAGGCAGGTTTAGATTCAGAAGAACTTGATGGCACTTCACTATTAATAAACAATATATGATTGCCCTTTTATACAGCTGAAATCTTGGCATTTTATTACTTTTAATCGTTTCTGATGTAGGCAGAAGCAACAAAGAACAAAATGATAATTTCAACACCTGTTGATTCGACAAGAATACCGGATATTGGATAATGGTTGATTCAACAACAATGCTAGCTATTGAACAATTTTTTGGAGAGAGACTGAATATCAATTGTAAAAGGTCTTTTTATCACCCGTTGAGCACTAGACAAGGCAATTAGAAAGACGGAAATAATTCCTAATTGATGCTGGCAACTCAGGAAATAAACAAAGAAAACAATCAACTAAAATGGAAAACCTTCAATTATGCACTAGTCCAATTGTGCTAATTTTGTGCCAGCCAAATCATGTTGAATTCTAAGAATAACCCATGCCGACTCTGGATAATGACGTTCATATTCAAGAGTAATGTTGAGGTCCCTTAACTTCCATAAGATCATATAAAGAATATGCTTAACTACAAGGTGTTATACTGTTATTTTTTATCAATACATAATAATTGCTGATATTGTTGAAAGAGTATCAGAGATTTAACAACTCACCATAAAGGAGGAGTCGGAAGGATGAAAACCGGCTTTGGGCTGATCATTCGCATGAACATGATGTACAACACGATCAATACCGGCCACCTCGTTCGCAGTAGTGATGATCTGCGACGGAACTATTTCAGTGGCATCTTCCTTTGCCAAATAACTAGGTATACCCTTTTCCATAGCACCTATATTTATTCAAGTATTTTTTATGTTAGGCTGCAGGATTTGTTATGGATTAAGCCCTAATCCCTTCTTAGAAGAGCAATAAGAAATCCAATGAAATATAAATTTCACGCAATTCTTCTGGAAAATGGTAGTAATAATAGGTTGATCTGCGGTCGAAGAATAAATGTACGTTATGATTAAGTTCCTCGGACTCTCAGCGATTCTGATAACAATACGATAAAAGGATCAATGGCTTTGGATCATAAATAAAGACAATATGTATTCGTTTTGTATTTTAACAGGTAAATAAGGAGGAAAATAACCCAACATGGCAACTTGTGCATGAACAATAATTTTCTGTATGCACAAAGACACCAGAAAACAAGAAGCAAAAATTTCAAGATATCACCCACATTTGTCACAGATTAGAAAAGTGAAAACTCAGGCATCATAATCAGGCGTAATTTTCATTATTTTCCCAAGTTCCAGACAATAGAACGTAGCTACCAATGCTCCCAGAAAAATAACAATGGGATTATACTCCAAAACTTTTTTAGCCTAACTAATATTCATTATAAATCTTTCTAAAAATAAAAGCTTAGACAAATTCAATCTGTTACGGCCCTAATTTCTTAATTTTAGTTAATAATTAATTTAAATTTTTTTTTTGTTATTTATCATCATTTGAGTAAGTTAAATTGTTGTTAGTTGATTTAGCCACTACAGGAGTATTTTGTGGAAAATTGGTGTGCGCGCCTTTATTTTAGGTAATGGTTATCTTTAAATGGATGTTCATTATTCAATAATGAACCTTGATCTCTTTGTGGATCTTTTGGGAGGTTTAAGTTCCCGCAGTTGAAGCTAATATCTACTTTATTTCCTTCTTCTAGAATTTTCAGTTACGAATAAAAGGCTTTTGTAACACAATCTGTCTTCAATTTTCATGGAATTAACATCGTACATAGAAAAACCAAACTGTTTTTTTATGAACAAGATTTTGAAAGTTACTTCGATTATCATTTTTCGTTATGCGTTTGATAATTGTATACCATGCTTAAAAGTTACTTTTCTAATAAATAAGTCAAGATGGACTTCCTAGAAAATTAAGATTTGTAACCAAATGTTGTCACAATTTAAAATCCTAAGTTCTTGCCTCAAAATTCCTCATTATCAGTGTGAATAATCGGAAGAAATCCGAACTGGAAAGTCCTGCAATTTGGGTTTCATTCAAGATCAAAATTAGCCCAAGAACAATAAGCAGTGCACTCTTGTTGTTGTGGAGGAGGAAACTAATTAAAAAGAAAACCCAGAATAGGATTATATTGTGTACAACCCTATTCATATAGAGTAATACTTAATGAAAAATTCTAGATCTACATAATTTTTGTCCATAAGGGTATCCATGCCTCTCACATGAGGTGGGGCCCACACTTTGTGAGAGGCATGGACACCTTGATGTACAAAAATTATGTACATCAAGTAAAGTCTATACTTATTTATTGCATTTAGAGTCAAGTGCATTACATTTTCAGTATAGATTCTTCAAAGTGATTTAATTGTTTTAGATATTTCTATACATTTGATAACGAACTAGACAATGTGATGAAAAACAATTCATATAGTCAGCACTAGAGAAATTTTGAAATTTCGTGGCATTAATATAAGTATATTTTACCGTTTCTACATTTTTTTTGCCACCTACATAAAAATCGTAGCCCTGCCACTTCATTGGCAAACTCCAAGTTTAATTAAAAAAAAAAGGTCAAAGAAATCACTTTAAAAACTCTGAGAAAGAGAGAGAACTTTGGCAGCATTGGCCCTCGACGGACAGGGGCACCATTTGGCGCCCTGGACGTCATGGCCCTAGACGTATAGCACAACCCCAAAGTCAATTTTCTCCATCAATATGAACATAGTACTTGACACTAGATTTTAATTTACTTTTTTCCCCTACCATAGTAGGTTTTATCTAGAGATCCGTGGAGCACTTGGTTCCAGACAATTGTTCTTCTAGATTTTTCCAAAGAATAGGCCTAGCTAAGATTTATTAGGTGCTTTTGTGGAAGAGATTTTTGAAATATTGTGAAAAAAGTGTTTAAAAAGGGAAAAAAAAAAAGTAATTTTCAATAAATTACTCCTCACAATGACTAAATGTCAATGAATTAAACGCAAATGAGAACCTCCAGTGTCCATTTTATGAAATGGTCACTTTATACAAAATGACCACTTTTTGATAAAAAGTGTATCATAATATTTTAATATTGATTCAAGATATATCATATTGTCAAAATGTGGCCATTTTTATCTCCCCTTAAAAACTAAAAAGTGCCTCTCTTTTTTGGGATGGGGGATCATTAACAAGTTTAACAAAAGGATGTCAACGAGCACACGGCTGGAATTAAATTAAATTTCTTGATATTTTTGAAAAAATAATAATATATACAAATAGCAAGAAAGATGGGACAAGTTCAATAAATAAATGCACGCATGGACTGATTTTATTTTTATTTATAAATGAAAATAACAACGGTCTAAGCCTCGGTACTAATAACTTTAGGTCGACTACAAAAATCGAGAGTTGAGAAAAACAAATGGACACAAATAACTTTTCGTGCTAAAAACACTCATCTCTTGCCATTTGCAACTCAAAAAATGTTACATGTATAGCTTATACATTTTTCCTCTGTCCTCAAACAGCTCATTTTCCTCTTAGGCACATTATTTCGCAAGAATTTCAACTATTGGGAATTCCTCCCATCTGAATTCATATATTTACGATATTTTTCAATATCCTTCTTATCCGAGCTTCCACCTCTTCGATGGTTCCATCTTCAGGTGGACTTAGGCGGCCTCTCACTTATGGCAATGGCTATGTCATTTGGAAATAGATCTCGGAGTACAAAGGCATGGAGGATAGTTGTCACGAGCAATGCAGCCATTGTAAGTGTAGCAACGGCACAGAGGAAGACAGCTAAAGTTTTAGTTACCACATTCGTGACCATGTCCGAATACCTGATTGTGGCAATGGCAGCTCCAGTCATTGGAAAAGTGTAGGCCCACCATGCTAATGAGAATCTGCAAGTAATTATGTAGCAAAATGTTGATATTCAAAGAAAAATGATGTAACAAGTAGCTTCAAATGGTATTGGTTGAAAAATTATACCTGAAGCCTCGGAAAAATTAAGACGGATAGCTTGAAAACAAGAAATGAAAGAAAAATGTGTTAGTTACATGAGCAATTTTTATTAGTGGGTGGCACAGAGACTTATATGTGGAAGATCTGTCTGTGTTTATACCATGTTAACTAATTCACCTAACAACTTAACTTTGTTGCCACTTTATTTATATTTAGTCTTCACCAGTTAGAAACAGGACATACTGTTGGGAATCTACTTATACATGCACAGCGGAAAATTAAATTATTTCGATTCACATCCAATAGATCTCATTGTGTTTGGTTAGGAATTGTGATAAGATTGTACCTTTTCCAGATCTGCAATCCTTTTGCTTTTCTTTTCGTTCCACAACTTTGGTTCGCCACCACAGCTGTCCAATTGTTCAGCCTCCAACGGTGATCCACACAGAGAACATGATTGCAGCCTCTAGGGGTTTCTCTTGTGCTAGCAAGAACAATGAAAATCTTAATGGACCTCAAACCCTAGTTATATATTTATATAAACCCAAATAGGCTCGGCCCGGTCCGGTCCAATAATT